AACTGGCGCTGCGCAACTGCCTGAATTTCCCTGAGTTGCGTGGTGGCCAGAATAGGGCCCTGAGGGCCTCGTCGAGCCTGCCTTCACTTAGGGCGACCGACGGGCTGCAAAATGGGGCCTTATGGATCTCATAGAGGCAGTCGCCCCCTCCTCCTTAGCTTCAACAGTCCTCTTAGAAGCTCAGTCTTCAACCATGGGGCGCTTTCCCTTCTGCAGAGAGCTCTCGTATTGGGCTACAACTTGAGGAGCGGTCTGCATGTGTTCGTCCCTGGTGAACCAGCTGTCCTCCTTCGGATCAGTGTGATGCTGAAACCGAACGTGGTACTGCAGCTTCGGCTTCGGAGGACGTCCCCTGCCTGCTGGTCTTGATACCGGCAGCTCTCTGTGATCCACGATGTCATCGATGTCCACCTCTCCGTCCATGGTTGGGGGCAGCATTGAGCGACGAGATGGGGAATTGATCAGTTTCTTTGGAAGGTGCCAGCTTGGAGGCGTGAAAGACAGGGTAAGTACGGAGATGACCAGGGATCCGGATAACATAAGATGGCCCATCCGGATCTGTCCCGACGATGTCCAAAACTTCCTAGGGTCCAAAGTATTGGGGCATGAGTTTGCGGGAGATCCCATGCTCCTGTCCCAGCTCTGAAGACTTAACCCAGACCCTATCCCTAACTTGAAATGTAGAAGGCCGGCGGTGTCTATTTTCAGACTCTATCATTGCAGCCTGCGCCTTCTGCATCTGTTCTACAGCCTGCTGCATCTTCTGTTCATAACGGTAAGCAAATTCCAAGGTGCCTGGTGCAGCAGTGGATTGATTCTCAGGGAGAAGAAAGTCTAGGGGCAGTCTAGGCTTAAATGTTAGCAGTAAGCTGTTTGGGCTCACCCCGGTGGCGCTGTGTACACCGTTGTTGTACAAGCTGGCGATGAGAGCAAGCTTCTCATCCCAGTCCAGCTGGTTGGGCTTGATGTAATGCCTCAACAGGTGTTGTACAGCGCGGTTCAGTTGCTCGGCCTGNTGTAATGCCTCAACAGGTGTTGTACAGCGCGGTTCAGTTGCTCGGCCTGACCGTTGGCCTCTGGGTGATTCGCAGAAGTCATCTGCAACTGAGTTCCCTGCTCTGCAGCAGCGGCCTTCCACAACTCACTGGTAAACCGGACATCCCTGTCACTAATAATAGACTTCGGTAAACCAAAGTCTCTGACCCAGTTCTCTTTGAACATTCGGATCACATACTCCGTTCTTGCTGTTTCCGACATTGCCACTAACCTAGCATACTTGCTAAATCTATCCACGATGACAAAGATGTGTCGCATCCCACTCTTGCTGGTGACCAGAGTATCCATGAAGTCCATGGACAGACTCTCACCAGGCCGTTCCGGAATCGGAAGGGGCTTTAGGAGCCCAAGAGGAGCTTGAGTACGGGGCTTGTCTCTTTGACATACCTGACAAGTCTCCACGTACAGCTGGGCGTCTCGCATTATCGTGGGCCACCAGAACCGCTGCAGCAGATTAGCTGCGGTCTTCTTGTACCCAAAATGGCCGGTGGCATCATGACACTCACCTAAAAATAAACTATGCAAAACACAATCGTTTATTCCCGACCTTCTCAAGGAACAGCAAGCCATTGACCAATTCAAACTCGGCAGAGGTCTTCTTGTCCTTCGCCTGCAGTCTGCGTATGATCTCAGACATGAACTGGTCCTCGCGATAGGTTTCCACCAAGGACTGAGTAACATGGTCCGTCAGATCGAACTCAGTAATCAGCGCACCCGAGAAATCAGGTCTACGCGACAAGGCATCATCAACCTTGTTGTACTCCCCTTTCAGATACTGAGGGTCAAAGTCATACTCCTCAATGACTTCGATCCAACGCTTGAGAGCGTCAGAGAGTACAGGCTGAGTTCTCATCCATCTCAGGGTCTGATGATCAGTCCTCAGGATGAAGAACCTCCCAAGGAGATTATGCGTCCAATGGGTCAGAGCTTTGTAAACCGCATAGAGTTCTTTCTCATAAGTGGACTTAGCCAACTTCTGAGACGACATTTTCTTGGACATGTACTCTACAGGCCTCGACTTTGGCCCCTCTTGCTGCGCGAGCACGGCGCCAATGCCATATTGGTTGGCATCCGTGGTGACTATAAACGGCTTATCACGATCAGGAAGTTTCAAGACCTCGTAGTGCGTCAACGCATGCTTCAGATGCCTGAAGGCAGCTGCGCACTCATCTGTCCACTCCCATGGGTGTCAAGGCGGGTCAGATCAGTCAAAGGAGAGGCCACTATGTTGTAGTTCTTAACGAAAGTCCTATAGTAGCCTGTCATTCCTTGGAAAGGTCTCATCTCAGTCACAGACTGAGGACGTGGCCAATCACGAATGTTGGCCACCTTTGTGTCGTCGGGCTTTAACCCTTCCGCGGATATCTCATGGCCCAAGTACAAGACACGGGTGCGGCCAAACTCGCACTTCTCACCGTTGATCTTGAACTGGTGCTGTCCCAGGAGGCTGAGGACTTTGTCCAAGTGTGCAACATGCTCCTCGACAGTCTTACTAAAAATAAGTATGTCATCGAGGTACAAGATGACAAACTTATCCAAGTAGTCGTGGAATATCCGATTCATAGCGTGCTGAAAGGTGCCAGGAGCATTGCAAAGGCCGAAAGGCATCACCACAAACTCGTACAGACCGTACTTGGTCTGAAAGGCGGTTTTGTGTTGATTCTCGGGCCGGATTGCAATCTAATGGTACCCGGACTTCAGATCTATCTTATTGAAGTACCGACACCCTTGCACTCTATCTAGCAGATCATCAATGCGCGGTAGGGGCTCTCTGTTCTTTACAGTGATGGCATTGAAGTCCCTATAGTCAATGCATATCCTAAGTGTACCCTCCTTCTTCTTAGGTACGAATAGTACTGGAGATCCATAAGGAGAGACACTCAGCCGGATCCAACCCTTCTCTACGAGTTCCTTGAGTTGGCGGCAAAGCTCATAAAGCTCGCCTGGAGACATCCAATAGATCCTACCCTTTGGAATACTAGACCCTGGGATAATCTCTATCGCGTGGACGACCTCCCTCTCAACAACCCCTGTCGGGTCTTCAAATAGATTAGGGTTCTTAGCAACTACTCCCTCTATCTCCGGCGACATTTTCAGCG